TCACAGTCACCCTGAAGATCCCCCCCCCCCCGTCCCCTGCCACCCGCTTCATTCTCTCCTTGCCTCTATTCCCATACTTACATAGGATTTAGGCTTTTGATCATTAGATCATGGATGGGCGGCTGTCATCAGGCTCAGGTGTGAGGTATGATGGGAACTGCAGTCCAAAACCTTTTTTCAGGGCCATAGTTGTCCACTTTGATTTAGATCTAGCAAACGGTATCAGAAAGAGTACTCAGAGTCCTGAAGGCTTTCAGATAAGGCTTTCCTCTGGTTGCCTCCCTGCCTTGAGCACCAAATTTCACTGCCAGTCCAGTTGGGGCCATCCCAAGACATTTTCCTGGCATGAGGAAAATAAAGAAGACAGTATAGTTCCCTTTTTCATACATATTTGGTGCCCTGCCCTGTTTCACTTCTTGTTCCACAAACTGCCAACTGGATTCACATTTTGATCTTTGTCATTCATTCTTTGATAGCCTTATCCACTGCATGTGTGCAGTGGGTTACTTGGGGGGGGGGCAAAGATAGTCCATGTGGCGTTTACACCACTGTCATCCAGCAAAGAGGAGTGGCTGGGGGCCTTCTACGAGGAAGAGCCCATCATCCTTCCAGGTTGCAATGGGCTCCATTTAGTATGGTATGTGAGCAGAGTTCCATAGCGACAATGGGTTAGTATTCCTCTTTCCAAATGTTACCCCACAACTTTATCCAAGCGTCCCCAAGGTCCCATCCTTGGGACTCAGATGCTTTTGGACCTTAATTCCCAGAAGCCATAAACTGGATGACCAGTATCCAGGAATTCTGGGAGCTGTAACCTGGCGACAGCTGGGGAGAACTCAGAATGGTAACTTTTTTGGACTAGCATTCCCAGAAACTCCTACTCAGCAGGGTCACTGTCGAAGTTTCCTCAGAGATTCTGTTATTAAGCATCCTTTGGGGACAGAAAGCTGGGGATGCCTGATTTTGTGCTATTAGAATTAAACCTGGGAGGCTACTATCACAGAACCCTAAAGGTAAAGGTAAAGGTTCCCCTTGACAATTTTTGTCCAGTCGTGTTCGAATCTAGGTGGTGGTGCTCATTCCCGTTTCCAACCCATAGAGCCAGCGTTTTGTCCGAAGACAATCTTCTGTGGTCACATGGCCAGTGCGACTTAGACACGGAACGCTGTTACCTTCCCACCGAGGTGGTCCCTATTTATCTACTTGCATTTGCATGCTTTCGAACCGCTAGGTTGGCGGGAGCTGGGACAAGCGATGGGCGCTCACTCCGTTGCGTGGATTCGATCTTACGACTGCTGGTCTTCTGACCCTGCAGCACAGGCTTCTGCGGTTTAGCCCGCAGCACCACCACGTCCCTGTCACAGAACCCTACTAGCATGGTAAAGTTGGAGGAGACCTCAAGGATTCTCATGTCCAACCTCTTGACAAAACAGGAAATCCACAGCTAGCTGGAACATTGGGTTCCAAGTTCATATCTTACGTTCTAAGACACTGTGCAACTTTAACATCATGTCTGGAAGTATTCTGAATGCGCTCTATTTGGTAACTACAAAGAATTTGAGCAAGGCACTGCTGTTCTTTCAGGGACTGGGCTCTAATCCCTCGCCCCCTCCACCAATGTGACAGCAATCATTTGCTCATGAGGCCTGTGATCACAACAAAGCAAAATGACCAATCGTGCTAAACAGCCTCCCTTTCCCTGGGAAAGCAGCAGTATTCCTCACGTTGCCCTGCCTGTGCCACAGTCCAGATGGTATGCATCTGATGAAAGAGACAGCCAATTTAGGATCAAAAATGCTGGGGCACAAATGTAATAAATAAAATAAATACTTATACTCATGCTGACCATAACTGAATGTCCTGCTATTGCTGTAATAGTCATGGT